CCGCACCTTGAGCAGCCGTTTGAGCAGCGCCTTGTCCCGGTGCAGGTGGGCTGTGTAGGAGGTGTAGAGGCCTGGTAGGAGGAGAGAGCTGGGCTGTCCTTCTGTCCTTCAGGGACCTCCCCCCACACTCCTGCAGCCCCTGCACACCCCACCCCAGCCCATCCCAGACACTTCACGGTCACAGAGGAGAATATTCTCCCACCTCACCCCGTGAAGCCTCTGAGGGGAAGGAGAGGAGGGAGACCCGCCAAGGGCAAAACAGGACCCTCAGCAGCAGAGGGACCCCAGCCGGGCACAGACCTGGCTTAGTGTCAACAGTCTTCAGTCTGGAGGGCTTCTTCAGCTTGACCTGCTTAGGAAGGTCCCCTGCGAGACATGTGCAGTGGCCAGGCCTCAGTGCCCAGAGCTCTGGCTATTCACAGGCCTAGAGGTCATCGGGTTCAGACCCCTGCAAGTCCCAACCTGGGTGAGGCTTCTGAGTTCCCTACCTGGACCTCCCCAGGACCCCTCACCTGACATCTTGGGTTCCCCGATTCGAAGTACATGGGGCCAGTGCTGGAGTGTTTTGATAAAGAAAGGGTTTGTGACTCCCAGGACCACGTTTGGTCTAGAGAGAGAGAGAGAGAGGGAGAGAGGGAGAGAGAAGAGGCAGAGAAAGGTCCAGGGATGGTGGCCAGGGCAGGTGGGGAGGACGCGCACTTACGGGGCCTGGGTGCGTGTGGTGAGCTCCTTGAACTCACTGTCATGGATGGTGAAGTAGGGGCGGAAGTCACAGCAGAACTTGAGGGGCTGCAGGCAGCTACAGGACAGGGACAGCAGGAATCAAGTGAGGGGGACAGCCTGGCCCGGCCGGGATGGTCCAGTGCATGAGGTTCATACCTGGTCAGGGCCAGCACCATCTCTGAGGACACGTCAGGTGAAGGTGCCAGGACCACCAGGGGCTCCCCAAGAAGCATGAGCTCCCACAGCATCTGCACATGGGTCAGCACGGGCTGAAAGCACCTGGTGCCAGGCAGCAACAGGTGGGGAGGTCAGGCAGAGGCCGAGGTTCCCTGACCCCTGCCATTTCCCCTGCCATTTCCCCTGCGGGCTGCGCAGCTCTCTGTTGCACACCATGGGCTGAGCTCAAGCTCTGGTGAACACAGGGCCCTACCCCAGTGGCAAGATGGTGGGTAGGGACATGTGAAGAGACAAGAGTGTGTCTTGGGCTAGCATAGCCACCCCCTGTTCCAACATACCAAACCAAGTCTGGCTCTGGGAATGGGGAACTCAACCTAGACTCTGTCTGAGGGGCCGGCAATCCTGTAGCAGCCCCGAAACCCAAGTAGGGGCTACCTACCCAGATTCTGCAGCCCTGATTCCTGCTGGGCCAACTATGGGGCAGGACAGTCTCAAAACCCAGACCTAGACTTGCTTAGAGAGGCAGAGAGGGGTTTCCTCAGGCAGCAAATGTCTCCCAAAAGCCTCTCTGGGCACCTGCCTTCTAGAACCTTCCTGTCTACCATGCCCCTTTCCTACGGGCACAGGTTTCCTCTTCTGCACAAGTCTTCTCTTGCAGAACTGTCCAAAGGGTCACTCAAGATGGGCAGTCCTCACCTTAGGCAGCAGCACGTAGCATCCCACAGGGCTCACCTGAACAGGTCTAATTCATGGACACTGGAAAGGACCACTGGGGCGGGCAGCAGGTTCTAAGAAGTGGAGGGGAGGGTGGTCAAGGCTGAGGTCGAACCTTACACTGGAGGAGAGCCCTCAGCCCCCGCCCTGTGACTGTGGCCTCTGTGGGGACAAGAGCAGGAAAAGCATCTGCTCCACCCTTGGCCTGGGGTTGGCCACCCACAAGGTGGGCTGGGAGGTTACAATATCACCTGGCCTGGGAGCAGGGTTCAACAAAGCCCAGGTCCCCCAGCCCCAGCCCCCACCTCTTGGTCACACGGCTTTGGAGGCTTGGACTCCAGCTTGTCCACCCGGGATGGGATGTGCACCTAAGGAGGAAGGGAAAGGCTGCCTGAGTAAGCAAGCGAATCCATGCGCCTCTGGCGCTCACTCTTCAACTGATCCTCACCTGGATGACGACTCCCATGACAGGTAGGTTCAGGGTCTGCCCAGGCACGGGGGCTGGCCATTGGTCAATCTCATTACAAACTGTGGACATAGGTGACCAATGTCAGGAGCTCTCCCCAAGGAGAAGCTGTGTGCTAAGGCCCACCAGGGGCTGCAGTTGGGATGAGGAGACTGTGTTGATGTGCCTGTGGTCACTCACCTGCTTCCAGGCAGGGTGCCAATTTGTCAAAATATTCAGGGGCAATTAGGCTCAGCAGCGACTGGAACAGCCGGACAAAAGGCAGGCGGGACACCAGTACCAAAGACTGTAGTGACACAGGGTATCAGATGATACCCCTCTCCAGACACCACCCCAGCTACTTAGGGCCCTATGGGACCCTAAAGCCAGGCTTACCCAGAGTTGGCCCAGGGTAGCACATCCCAATTCATAGGAGAGCTGCCCTGGAATGGCCAGGTTCAGACCCCAGGATTATTAGGGAAAACCCAATGCCTCCCAAATAGGGTGGAGAAACCCCCAGACGACAGCTGGGTGGGGCAGGAGTCCAGCCCTTCAGAGGGAAATGAGAAGTGACCAAGAGTTCAGGAATGACCGCCCCAGGGGCCAAGCAGCTTTTGCCTCAGTGCCTGAATTCAGAACTGAAGCTGTCTTAACCCTGAGAGTGCGATGGGCCCGTGGACCATGAGGAACAGGGATGTCCTGGGCCTGGAGACTGACGGCCAGGAAGGGGCCACAGAGGAATGAAGCTCCCAGAGGACTGGGACTCCTATTCCACGCCGCACATCGCCTTTCCTGCTGCTTGCCAGTCTCCCCTCTCCAGGGCACCACCCCAGAGTGGCCGGCAGCTCACCTTCTGGAAGTAGCCCCTCCTCACAGAGCTGTCCTTCACCTGCCTGAAGTACACGTAGCCAAGGTAGTGTGCTGGCTCCCTCTGGAAGGAGCACGGTGTGAGCCAGGCCCCACCCAGGCCAGCTGTCTAGGCCAGGGACAAGGGTGGCAAGAAACAGGGCAGGGAGGCAGGGAGGAGGGGGGCTGAGGATTCGGGGGCTCCTGCAGGGGCTGTCCCTGCACTCTGGGGCCGGGTACCAAAGTGGAAGCCTTCCAGGGCAGGGCTGGGGTTCCCTGGGTCCGACGTAGACAACACCACTCCAGGGAACACATCAGCTGACACGAAAGCCCAGGGGCTGCACACCTCTGCTCACTGAGTCAGGCACTGTTCCACCCCAGCCCTGCCCCCCAGTACGCAAAGAAGGTGCTCCAGGGACTCGCGTGAGTCCCCAGAAGAGCTGGCCCACCCCGAGTGGAGGCTGGGACCTGGGCTTGCAGAATACGCAGAGCTTGTAGCAGTTAATGACCCGACAGAAGGGCCTGCGTGGGTCAGCTAGGGTCCCCTGGAGAGGAAGGGACGAGCTGACTAGAGGCAGCCCCCTGCTCACCTGCAGTGCCACGGGGGCCCCACCATTGTAGGGTCTGTCGTCTGCATGCCAGGGGCTCCTCTGCCCTCCACACTGGCGCATCCGGAAGCTGAACTGAGTGTCCCCAAGGCAGCCTGCGAAGGGGCAGCCCCACCATGCAGGTCAGGGTTGGAGCCTCTCCTGCTGTCTCATAGGGGTGGGGACCAGGGACCAGAGCCCTGCCTGGTGTGAGCCAGGCCCCACCCAGGCCAGCTGTCCTCTGTTGGCACCAGTGCCCTGGAGGGGAAGCTCAGCTCGAGGGATCTGTTTCCCAGTGGACCCCTGTCCTGATTCCTGCACACCCCTCACCTAAAGGTCTTGCGACAAACTTAGTACAGAGAAGAACCTCCAGCTCCCTGGTGGGAGGCTGGTTCAGCCTGCCTCAACACACCAGGCACCAGACAAGGGCCTCCGGTGGAGACCAGAGTGCTGGTGCCTCTGCCCAGACACATCTTTCTATGAGAATGTGAAGAAGCTGGCTCCTGGCTCAGCATGGGCTCTGGAGGTCTCCACTGGGTGGGGATCAGGGGGTGTGACCCATCACTGCAGCACCCCATGTTCTACTGGCAGCTTTGATGCCTCTGGCCTGGGCCCCATCGGCCCCCTTCTTGCCCATCTCTTCCCCTTTCCAGAGCTAGGGTCCAACCCAGGAAGGGTGGGGCCACCTACCTGAGTGGGAGTCAGGAAATGACAGGTAGCAGATGCTGCTTTTCTGAAACACAGAGTCTGGTGAGTGAGAGCTGGCTCATTCCTGGGGGATGTCCACTCCCAAGACGGCCAGGACTTACCTCCTTGTCTGTGAGCTGGAAGTCACTGGGGTACACCAGCTGCAGGGGAAGACAGAGCACTGTGTGGCACCACTGACAGCAGCTGAAGTGGTGTGGCCAGCTCTTCTGGACCTCTTCTGCCTTCCAGCGTCCCTGTCCCTCTCAGTGCACTGTCTTCTCTGACCTAGACCCTCCCAGTTCCTTGCTGTTCCTCATCCCTTCCCTGACCTCCAGGTTCAGCACACTCCCCTTTCCGCTCAAGCCTCTCACTGTCTACTTCCTGGGCCTCTTAGCACAAGGCCAGAACAACGGGATTGACTTTCTTACTCCTTTGCCCATGGCCACCTGGCCAAGCCTCACCACCTCCTGTGCAGACTGTGGTGGGGCCTCTCTGCCTCTTCCAGCCTGGACAGCTTCCATGGCATCAAGAGGGCAGCTCTGGAGCTCACTTCCCTAGAGCTAACTTGCTAGGCTCCCACTCCCTCACCACTGCCCCAAGCCAGTGTCCCAGGCCTCACGGCCTGCCACCTCCTCTTGGGCTACTCAGAAGTCACCTGATGCAGCAGGAACCCACTCCGTGATGGCAGCTTCCTGCTAGGCATTCTCTACCCATCCAACTGTCTTCACTGGCTCTCCCCAACCTGGGCCTGTGCCCCACCTATAAGTGATCATCTGGACAAGCCTTATCCTCAGAGAATGGACGGGCTAAATAAGCTCTGAATGTTCTAGAGACAGGGTGTGCCCTGGAGGCAGCAGGCTGTGCAGGTATAGCCAGGAGTCAGGTCCCGCAGCTGAGGTACTGGCAAGGGTCAGAGTAAGGGTCAGGGTCAGGGTCGGCTGCTGTCAGTGGTGCCACGCAGTGCTCTGTCTTCCCCTGCGGTAGGTTTAAGCATCCCGTAGGATTCTTAAAAGGTAGGGGCCCTAACTGGGTTGAGTAGTACATCCCTGTAATGCCAGCTCCTCAGGAGGCTGAGACAGGAGGATCAGAGGCCAGGCTGGGCATCTTAGTGAGACTCTGTCTTAAAAAAATAAAAAGGGAGGGCTGGGTTGTGGCTCAGAGGTAGAGCACTCGCCTAATAAGTGCGGGGCCCTGGCTTCAATTCTCAGCACCACAATAAAAATAAATAAATAAATAAAAGTATTTTTAAAAAAATAAAATAAAAAGGGGGCTGGGTTGTGGCTCAGTGGTAGAGCTCTTGCCTAGCATGTGTGAAGTACTGGGTCTGATTCTCAGCGCCCATATAAATAAATAAAATAAAGGTCCACCAACACCTAAGCCATATATATATATATTTTTTAAGGGTTGGAAATGTAGTTCAGTGGTAGAGTGGCCCTGGGTTTCATCCTTAGTACCAAGGGGAGTGGGTAAAAAAAGGAGCCCTTGTGGTATCTCCTGGGCTGGCTCTCCCAGAAAGCAGGTGTTCCTAGAGCCTGCTGGTCTTTGTCCATGGGCTCCCCTTTCACTGATGACCCCTGTCTATCCCCGTGAGTCATTCAGGCTGGACAGGGTTGCTCTACGCTGGGGTGTGCAGGGGTATGCTGAACTCAGAAAGGTGAGTTGCTGTGCCCGCACTGAGGGTTTGGTCTGGGTTTGCTGCTAGATCCACTTTGTGTCTTTAGCTGCATGCTAATTCTCTTGAAGGCAGGCACTCTGTCCCTGATGCTGCTGCCTTCCTTATCTGTCAGGGAACAGACCCTCCCCAACTATGATGTTTGTGGAATGTGTGAAAACAAATCAGTGAAGCCAAGATAGGTAGGTATGATGGTTAGTGTCAAGTGTCAATTAGATTGCATTAAGGAAAACAGAAAAGTGGTAAAGCATACTTTTGTGTGGTGTCTCCAGAGGAGTAGACTAATTGGGGAAGGTCTGCTTTCAATGTAGGAAGGCACATCAGTCAGGTGGAGGCTCAGACCAAAAAAGTAGAAGAAAGGCAATTTCCTGACTCTCCTGGAGCTAGAGCTCTTTTTCTCCTGGCTTTGGACCAGGACTCTTTAAGTTCTGCAGCCTCTAGACTCCAGTTAGCCCCACTCCAGCCTTTGGCCTGGGCCTCAGAGGTACACCACCAGCTTTCCTGTTTCTGAGGCCTTCAGACTTGTACTGAGCCATGCTACCAGTTTCCCAGGGTCTCCAGATTGTAGACAGTCTACTGTGGGACTGCTCGGCCTCCATAATCACAGGAGTAAATTCCCCTAATTAGTCCCCCTCATCCATCTATCCACACGTTGGTTCTGTCTCTCTGAAGCACTCTAATAATACTTACAAACCTTAGTCTTGGAGGGCAGCATGGTCAAGGAGGTGCCAGTCAGGCTTGCTCCAAGAGGAAGGGAGCCAGCAGTGGGAAGAGGAGGCAAAGGGGGCTGGACCTACAGGATGCTCCAGGATTCCTCCATGAGAGTCAGGATCCACAAGACTACACAGGCTGAACCTGTATCTGCACTGAGCGGGGCTGAGGACAGGTGGGTACCTGGAGGCCCCAAAGGGCCCTTTCCTTAAGGTCAGGGTCTGTACCTGGTCTGACGGTCACAGGAGTCTTGCAGAATCTGAGGAGGCCACCTTGGCCTCTGAACTCTGTGTCCATATCCAGGGCCCTTCTAGAACAACGGACCAGGAAACTCCTGTTCATGGCTTACCTGGAGCTAAGTGCTCAGGTAGGGTCATGCCAAAGTGAGGAGACAAATGGAACAAACCCTTAGAGAAAGGAGTAGCTGCAGGCCAAGTTCCGCCTGCCCAGGGACTACTTGAGCGTCTCGTTCTTTTCATCTGAGCTAGTCTGCACAGGTCACCACTCCTGGTCACTGAGAACTTTGCTTGGAGAGGTAACTCTAGGCAGTGGTTTTCAAGCATGATATGCAACACCTAGGGGTCCACAAGGCCAAAGCCATTGCCGTAAGTCAGTACCATCTTTACTCTCATCTTCTCACACAGTTCCCAGAGGCCATGAGGTATGCTGTCCCCTGGGAGACTCACTGCAGGACCTGACATGAGAATCTAGCTGTCCTCTATTTGGTCAGATACTAAAAAGGTTTGTGAAAATGTCAAAGGAAGCTGGGCATGGTGGCATATGCCTGTAATCCCAGTGGCTTGGGAGGCTGAGGCAGGAGGATCTCAAGTTCAAGAGTAGCCTCAGCAACTCAGTGAGACACTGTCTCTAAATAAAATATAAAAAGGGTTGGGGATATGGCTTAGTGGTTAAGGGCCCCTGGGTTCAATCCCCAGTACCAAAAAGAAGTCAAATGATACCTTTCTTTTTCACTCAATTATTTTTGTTTTGGAAAACATGGTTGTTGCCATAATCATATATTATTACATCAATATGTAGGATGTGGGCTGAGGATGTGGCTCAGTGGTAAAAGTAGTTGCCTGGCATGCATGAAGCAGTGGGTTCAAATCCCCAAGCACCCCCCCCCAAAAAAAAAAAAAAAACACATAGGATGTTTTGGGATTTGTGTGTTTTGTTGTTGTTGTATTGTACTAGGGACTGAACTCAGGGCCTTGCACAGCTTTACACCCAGTTCTTATTTTTGAGAAAATCTTGCTAAATTGCCTGGGCTGGCCTCAAACTTGTAATCCTCCTGTCTTAGCCTCCAGAGTAGCTTAGAGGCATGTGACACTGTGCCTGGTAATGTTTGTTTTTCTTAAGTTAAAACTATTAAATTTCTCAGCTTTAGTTTCTAGCATAATAAGCATTGATAGATATAACCCATGCTAACAAAAGACTCTCTGGGGTCCTCAATAATTTTTAAGACTAAAAAGGGGTCCTGAGACTATGCAATAGGGACTGCTGCCCAAGCAGGTGTGGCCAACACAGTGGAAGGCTCTTTGGGCACTCTGGTTACAAGGCACCCAGAAGTCTCTCCAGGGATCTGGGATACTGAGGTGTGTTTTCAAGGGCTGCGGTGGCAGAACCCGGACCTTTCTTCATCTGACCTGAACTTTCTGGTCACCCCCATCACTCTATTCACTCTTCTCTCAAGCTAACTCTAACCCTTGCGTACAGGTCCCGGTGTACCCATCTGCATGGGAATCCCACCTACAGGCGCTGAGGGAGGAGTCCTGGGATTACAGGCATATGCCACCATGCCCAGCTTCCTTTGACATTTTCACAAACCTTTTTAGTATCTGACCAAATAGAGCACTACAGGTTCAGAACTACTTGCTCTCTGTCTCTAGCAGAGGGTGAACTCCTTTAGGGCAAGAGCCTGTCTTCTTGTTTATTTCCACATTGCTGAGCTCTGGCACTGCAGGGCCTGCTCAGTGGCTGAGGCACGGGTCTGCATCAGGTCTGATGGTCATAGGATCTTGCAGCACCTGAGGAGACCATTTCATGCAGCTGTTCCGTACTTGATTTACTTAATGACTGAATCAATGGATAGCCCTTGCCTTTGCTGCTTATGTTAGCTTTCTGAGAAAGGGGTTACCTGAAACAGGTTCCCTCCTCTGACTGCCGTTCTCTGATCCTCCAAGACTAAGCTGAGCCTATTTCAGTTTCCTGGAGGTGACCAGTGTCCTCCTTCAGCATTCCTGCATCAAGCACAGTGCTGGAGTTTCACAACACTCAGCCAGGCTGAGTTGGGAATACAAGATATGTGCTCCCTGGCAGTCAGCGAGATTCATTCTTCCAGATTTCCAGGGGAGGGATGATGACAGGCAGGAGGCAAACCTCATCAGGGAGTCATGTGGCCCATGTACTCACTGCCAGAGTTCTGCAGGTTCAACCACCGCCAGGACCCAGGTGATTGCCATGGAACATTGCAGAGGTGGGCTTAAGTCTCCAACACCAATCCCTCAAATGTGCCACAGTAAATGCTTGGGAGCCCAAGGACACGTGGCCTTTATCAGGACTTGCTCAGAATTAGCTTTTTGAGTGGCTGCATCTTAGGAAACTAGATGTGAGAATGCTTTAAGAAAGTCCTCACTTGGGAAACAATTTGGGCAACAGAAGGTGGGCTCTGCAGCCCAGAGTAAATCATCTCACCTCTCTGTACTCTAGCTCTTTCCTCAAGCGGTGCCATTAGGGGAGGGAGGAAGGGGAGATGTGAGACTGTATCCACTCTCAGGTTCTACCTCCCACTTACCTTCCTTTTCCTGGGGAGCCTTCTAGAGCCCGAGGAAGGGAGGAGGTTAACAGGCTGGGTGGGGGTAGGAGCAAGAGGAGTTAGGAGAGGGAGGAGGATGCTATATTCTTTGGAAGGAGTAGGAGAAGAAGTCAGCCTAAAAATGTGCGCAAAGGGGTTCCTAAGAGGGCACTGGGCCTAGCCGGGTGAGACCTGCCTGCGGGGGCGTGGCGTGGCGCTAAGGGGCGTGGCCCGAGGGAGAGGGCGGGGCGAAATGGGGGAGAGGTGCGGGGAGTGGGGGAAGGACAGGGAGGGAGGAAGGAGCGGGCCTGGGGAGAGGCGCGGCGAGAGGGCGAGGCGGAGTTCGGGGGAGGAAGAGGTGGAGCGGGAGGGAGGGGACGCGGCGGGACGGGGGGAGGGGAAGGGAGGGGCTGGGACGGGGCGGGGGCAGGGACTCGGGACGGAACGGGGCGAGGGCGGGGAGGGAGGAGTGGTGGTGCCCGCCCGCGTCCGCGCTCACCTCCAGCGCCTGGCCCAGCTCCAGGTCGAAGGTGACCACGCACACGCACTCCAGCCAGGCGGAGAAGCGCGCCCAGGGCGCCGCCGGGGTCCGCGTTGCGCGGTTCGCGGACGAGGGCCCGGCCGCACCGAGCACGCCACCAGCCCGCCGAGGCCCGGCACCCGCCCGCGCCTCCATGGTGGCGGCTCTTGCAGCCGCGCGTTGCGGAGGAACGCGGGCGCCGGCCCAGCCCGCTTCGGAGCAGTCGAGCGGCCTTCGCAGAGCAGAGCGGCCGGTGCGGCCGGGTGCGCCCCCTGGCGCTCGAGGCTCGCCCCAGCAAGAAGGGCCCGCGCCCCAGCCCTGACCCCGCACGCCTCTCCGGCCGCCACGCTCAGGCTCCGCTGGCGGGTTCGCGGGGACGCGGGACTCGGTAGCGCAGGCGGGCTGCAGGAGCAGCCCCCGTCTGTGATGGCTCTTTCACGCAGCGGGCACGGGGGAACGGATGGCGTTCGGGCTCCGGAACACACGCCAATGGAGAAGAGATCCATGGCCAGGCTTATGTTTTCCTTTTCCCGCCCCCTGGCTTTTGCTTGCTTTGACCTGCAAGTGAGGCACACACAGTTCCTAGCCACATGGCCTCAACTAGGGAAATGTGGGCATATGGCCGCTGGTGAGTCGGAAAATGTCCCTTATTATTACCCTCTTTCATTTAACTCAGGATGCCATTGTTTTGTAAATAAGAAAACTGCAACTACATGGTACGAACCACACTCATCTGCCCACCTGCCAATCGCTCAAAGGACAGGTTTTGCAAGTTTTTTCGGAATATGGCCAAATGTGGAGGTAGGAGAGCAAGCCTCGGATCCTGCCCCGTCCTGGGGTGGGTGGGGGTGGCTCACGGACTGAAACGGTGGAGAAGGGGTTGGAGATGAGGAAATAACCAGTAATTTCTATGTGATCAAACTTGGCCTCACCACCGACCACATGTCAGAGGTGTTATTTGTACCTCTAAAATTGGTGTTTTGGAGATTAAACCCAGGGGCCTTGCACGTGCTAGGCATTGAACCACTAAGCGGCATCCCCAGCCCTTTTTATTTTGAGACAAGTGCTCAGTAAGTTGCCTAGGTTGGCCTGGAATTTGGGATGATCCTGCCTCAGCCTTCTGAGTAGCTGGGATTACAAAGCCACCAGATAACCACCTTTAAGTTGGTGATTTTTGTAGTTGCTTAAAAGCAAGTAACTTGAGAAGGTAAAGGAACTAAGAAGGTGAAGAGGCTTAGGGTGTAGCTCAGTGGAAGATGGCTCCCCTAGCATTTGTGTACACCCTGTGTTCATCCCCAGCACCGGAAAAAGAAAAAAAAAAAAGAAGAAAATCAAGTGGGTTACCTCTAGAGAGTTATCAGGTTTCCCCGTGGCATTATGATGAGCTATCAAATGTTTCACATGTTCTTACAGAAAAGATGACCGTGAATGTTCAATGACTGGCAATTTACTGCACAAAATCTACATCTGTAATTAATGTTATATCCTTACTATTCTGTACATTTATCCATGCCTCTATCCATCAGTCCATCTTGTTTTCAGATGACTTTCAATCAAGACAATTGCAACATTCATATCTGCACCCCTAATGTTTAGTAGAGTTTCTTCCACATAGTAGAAGCTTAATCTTCTATAAAGGGATACTTAGATATTTGTCAAATCTATTGTGCTTATCATTAACTAGTATTTTTTTTTTCTTCTAGGTAAAATGCATGATGGGGGTGGGTACTGGGGATTGAATCCAAGGGTGCCTTACCACTGAGCTTCATCTCTAGTCCTTTTTATTTTATTTTGAAACAAAATCTGACTAAGTTGCTCAACATTTCAATCCCCCTGCTTCAGCCTCCTGAGTCACTGGAATTATATGCATGGGCCAGCATACCTGACACAATGCATGAATCTTAAATAGACCATTCATTGAGTTTTGACAAATGAACACATGTGTAACCCAAAACTCTAGCAAGATACAGAACACCGTGCTGGGTATGGCGGCACAAGGCTGTGATCCCAGTGACTAGGGAGGCAGAGGCAGGAAGATCAAAAGTTCAAGGCTGTCCTCAGCAATTTATCGAGGTCCCCAGCAAGTCAATGAGACACACTCTTAAAATAAAAAAAAGATTGGGGCTGGGGATGTGGCTCAAGCGGTAGTGCGCTCGCCTGGCATGCGTGCGGCCCGGGTTCGATCCTCAGCACCACATACCAACAAAGATGTTGTGTCCGCCAAAAACCAAAAATAAATAAATAAATAAATATTTAAAAAAAAAAAAAGCCAAAAAGATACAGAACATTATCATCACTCTTTCTAGTCTCTACACCCAGACCCCATCATTCTTATTTTTGCACTATAGATTATTTTACCATCTACTAGAACTTAGAAGATGGAATCATACAAACTGAAATCAAATCCCATGCATGTGTGAGTTTGTCTGAATGAACCCAACTACTATATGTATAACTAAAAAGTTATGATTTTAATGGAGCCATATACCGGGTAATCTTTGGTGTCCGGCTTCTTTTACTCGGAGTCTTTTCAGATTTGTCCCTTTTTGGTGCATTTCATTTTGGGGGGGGGCGGCTGGGGCACTATTTATTAAACTTAGGGTTACTTAACCACTGAGCCACATCCCCAGCCCTGATTTGTATTTTATTTAGAGGCAGGATCTCTCTAAGTTGCTGTAGGGCCTCAATAAGTTGCTAAGGCTGGCTTTGAACTCCTTGTGATCCTCCTGCCTCAGTCTCCTGAGCCACTGGGATTAAAGTCATATGCCACTGTGCCTGGCTCTAAACCAATTCTGAATTCCTGAAATAAACCCACTAGTCTTTAGTAGATAATCCTTATGATATGTTGCTGAATTTTGTTCTAGAGCCCTTTGTTCATTCTTGTGGATTTGAGTGAATTCTGGTGTCATTTCCTTTTAGCTTGAAGAACTTTCTTTAGAATTTCTAGAAGGACGAGAATTTGTTCATTTCCAGGGCTATTTATTTGTTGGTTTTGGGGATCTCATCTAGGGCCACTTTACCACTGAGCTACATCCCCAGTCCTTTTTTATACTTTATTTTGAGACAGGGGCTCACTAAGTTGCTGAGGCTGGCCTCAACTTGCGATCATCCTGTGTCAGCCTCCCAAGTTGCTGGGATTACAAGTGTGTGCCACCATGTCAACTTGCCAGGGTTTTTTTTTAAGAGTAAATTTTATTAATTAATTAATTTGTTGGTTGTGTGGTGCTGGGAATTGAACCCAGGGCCTTGTACACACGAGGCAAGCATTCTACCAACTGAACCACATCCCCAGACCTATCCAGGGCTTTTTGGTGTCCGGCTTCTTTTACTCGGAGTCTTTTCAGATTTGTCCCTTTTGGGGACAAATTTATTTTAAAATATTTTTTTAGTTGTAGATGGACACAATATCTTTATTTATTTTATGTGGTGCTGAGGATCGAACCTAATGCCTCACACATGCAAGGCAAGTGCTCTCCCACCGAGACACAACCACAGCCTGCCAGGGCTTTTTAATTAATTAATTATCTATTTTTAATGTAGGATACTGCCCAACTGCCAAAAACTCAACCTTCTAAAATCTGTTGATGTCAATTCACATGAAGAGTAATCAAGTTGCCCTACATGTGCCACTCACTACAAAAGCCCTTTTTGTTTTCTTTTCTCTTTTTGTCCTAGGGACTGAACCCAGGGCCACACATCATTGAGAGGTTTTATTTTTCCTTCAGCATTCTGAACATTATTTTACTACCCTTAGGGCCTCCATTGCCTCTTATGAGAACTCAGTGGTTAATTGTACGTAGTCCCCTTTATGTGATGAGTCATTTCTTTCCTGCCACTTTCATGATATTCTTTGACATGTGGCAGTCTGATTGTGGTGTACGTAGGTGTGACTCTCCTGTGTTCATTCTCTGGGGTTTTGGTGCCTGGGCCTGTGTCTAGTTGTATTGTGTGGCTTTTGAGGAAGGACAAGACAGATCACAGCTAGTCCTACTCTGGTGGTGCTCCAGAGGCAGCATAAATCTTATATCACAGCTTTGCCTTTTCAGTTTATTGGTGAATAACTTGGTATTTGATATTCTTAGTGATAGAGTTCCTTTTCTTTGATCCTTCTGTGTCAGAAATAGCTGGCTTTGTTCTAGCCATTCTGTGTATGCTGCAAGGTGGTTAAAGAACCATACATACAAACTATGTCTGGCGACCAGTTATAGAAACAAGGAATGTATTAGTTTCGCATATTTTCTCAATCCTTGTTATATTATATATTTTCACATACTAATCACTTTTCTCCTTTTCATTTTAAAAAATATATGTGTTTCTAGAGGTTAACTTCACTATTTAAGTGTTAACATAAGAGACTTCTCAGTGAGACAGCAACAGCATTTTAGGAGTATTCAAAACAGCCAGTGATAGATATACTGCCTATTGTGAATGTGCATATCTTCATATTAGGGGAAGAATGAGGATTTTCTTCACTTGCAATAAAATAAAAGTATCTGGTCAGATGAAAATACAGAGTTGTTTACTTGCTGCACGGAAGTACAAACGTATGAAAAGATGCATTCGGAGCTGACTAAACCAGTTTTCCATCTGCTCTCCTCACCTCCATGATGTGAATTTTTGCCAGTAGGTTTGGAGAATCCCTGCAGGAGGAACAGACTTCTTGGTTCCCATGTGCATTCTTTCTCTTCTTGATCCTATTGTGTGACCACCAGTGGCATATGGGCCCATCCACTTGCACTTACCTGCATCAAGTTTTGGTGCCGCACTGTGGATAGCTGGCCACGGAGCTTCAGTGGCATCCCAAGTGGATTCCCAGGGAGTCACAGGCATCTCAGTGATAGGTTTCCAGCCTTGGCCCCCTGTGCCTTGGAAGGTGTACTCCTGCCCACCAAGCTCTGCTCTGCAGCTGCATATAACTCTACCCCAGGGCAACCAAGGGAATGTCAGATGGGCTGCATTCACACTTCTCTAACAAGGAGTGACCTCCCATTTTGGGGAAGAGATCCTCTTCCAAGTTTTCTCTTTCATGAATATAGTTGTTTTTATTCACTTATAATCTCATTATTGATAATAATTGTGGTGAGCCGTTTCTGTGAACTGTGGCCGCCATTACAAGATGGCGCTGATAAGCGCCGTGGCCTGTGATAAACAACTCCTTGTTTTGGGAGAGTTGGCACGTAGCTGTAAAACACCCTATGAGAAAGATCCACGTGGCAGTTG